GTATAACAATACCCTCATGTACATGTTTTAGGGTGTCTTGGTAAGAGACAGGGTCAGTAGAGGGCTTGCCCATTTCAGTTTGCCAGATTGGTTTGCTGGGTATATGTACAAAGGATCAGCGCTAATATACTAGATCAGGGGTAGGCAACCTATGGCACTAGTGCCATGCACGGCACTCAAGGATGCTAGAGCCAAACAGGCTCTGGCCTATCAGGAGTCCCAGTGAAACTTCAGATATCTGCTAATACCAAAAGGTGGTGAAGGACAATTCTCAATTTATGCATTGCAGCACATAGAGTGAGTGATCTCAGATTACTTCCTCCCAGTACTTATGAATGGGAATCAACACTGAAGTAGAGCAGCCTGCAGCTGCTGTTGCAGCTTCTGTCCTCGATCTGTACCTGGCCAGCCTGGTCCCCACTGGAACCCAGGGAAGCCACCCACACTGCTAGATATACACAGAAATGCACAATAACCCTCCCCTCATACAAATAATACGAACAGCCCACAAACAAACATACAAGCAATCTGCACAAACGTAACCTGCTAACAATCCACATACATGTACACAACCCCACATGCAGCCTCTCACATGCAATACCCCAAACAGCCCCCACACATACACACACTACCAAACACACAATGTGACATATCCATCCACACACACACAATTCCACAAACAGCCCCCATACACAGCCCACATTCCGAGGTATCATACACGATACCACAAACTACTCCTGAACATATACAATATAATAGCTCATATACGCACAAATACAACAATACAAAGCAATTACAGTATAAATAACACAAGCAGAATACGGCAGCATACACACCTCAATTTAAAAAAAATAGGACCGGCACGCTAAGGGACATCTCAATCCTATATCGGCACAGTGCTGCTAAAAGGTTGCTACCCCTGTACTAGATCTTACAGAGATAAATATAAGGCAGCACACCTGAAAAATAGGGCTCCCTCACAGACCCTATAGAGTAGACAAAACAAAAAACTTTCTTTCATTGCCCTCCCTAATATGGCTGAAACATATTTCAGCCATATTAATATACTATAATAGTTATTTAAACAAATAAATAAAAGGTCATGTGACCGTGACGTTATTCTGACGCCAAAATCAAGTAATCTGAGGCCTATATAAAGCCAAAGTTGTCAGGTACATGTTTTTATCCACTTGAGAAAGCCCTAAGGGGAGAAACGCATTGTGGTATTTTAATTGCTGTATTTTATTAAAGGTATTTTGGCCACTTTCAATTTTTTTTTTTTTTTTTTTAGCAATGTCAGAAAATATTTATTATAACACCAAAAAGTCTTTGTTAGCAAATGCTTGAGGGGGCATGCATCACTTGATCATTATTTTTTAAACACTTAAATATACAAACCAAAATGAAGCAGGAACAACTTTGGAAGGCATGCAAGAAACCTTTATAAACTTGGTGAGATTGCATTGTTTTTTTTTTTTTTTAATACTTTATTGTGTAAAAGTAACGGTACAAGTTACAAGTTATACATTTATGAATACAGTGTCACGACTGAATATAGATAAGGAGCAAAGCACTTGGGTAGCGATAGCAGCTATCGCAGGAGAGGGGGTGGGTTGTAGGAGGGGGGGTACAAGGCGTCTGTGGCTGCTTTGGAGAGCTTGTGTAGAGCTACGGGTAGAGGGGGTCAGGCACTAGCGATGCTTGTCTTCGTTTGTGCGGTTCTCGTGTCTGCATCTATGAGTTATTCATGAATTCCTCCCATGGCTCCCAAATTTCTCTGAAGAGTGCGTGTTTGTGAGAGAGGGATGCGTGTATCTCCTCCATGACCCTAATTGATTCTACCTTAGCGATCCATTCCCTGATTGATGGAGCTGCGGAATTTTTCCACTTGACTGGTATGAGTAGGTTGGCAGCGGTGATGAGGTGGGTGAGTAGGAGTCGTTGTGGTTTCAAAAGGGGGCGCGGTAGTAGTAAGAATATTAGTGTAAGCGGGGTGGCCACTTTCAATTTTTGAGTCCGCCATTTTCCTCTTTTATTTTTACCTGGCACCAGAGTTTTTATTGTTCTAGTGAGAATTTTACTCCAAAGAATACATGGTGGGGATTATAACACTCAAGCTTTATCCATTGAGCAGTCTGCCTGCTCAATAAAATGTGAGTAACAACTTGGTATTTTATTATTTCACCTCTGGCTTTTATACAATAAGCACTATTATTGTTTCACTATTAGCACTATTACCCCCTCGGCATAAACTCCTTTTCCTTCCAATTCTTACCACCAGCCGACCTTTTCCTCGCTAAGTGGGCACGACATAACAGGTAACCTAAGGTTAACCCTTTAGAGAAGGGGAGGTTGAGACCTCAAAACTTGCTGATTTCATTCCATATACTTAAACATAACCACCTCAAACTTAGTTGGCAATGACATACCCCCCGCCACAACCCCGCTGTTTTCCACCTAAAATCAGTGGGGGACCCCACCAAGACCACCCATGGCCTGTTACACCGCTTCCTGCAGGGCGAGATTAAAGAGGTCGAGCCCGACCTCCGTCAAGTGCACTCCATCCCCTTGAAATAGATTGGTCGCATCCCGCTCAAAAACCATATGGCGAACTGGAATCCCCAGAACACCCAAAGCAAACCGAGAAACCCGCTTATTCAACTTACGGTTCCGGGCGCGCTGCCAGAAGTTACGAGCAATAACCTCGGACCAAACCAGGCATACGTCTGGAAATAGATTTAAAATGCGCGCCAAGTCGCGTTTAACGGCAGATACCAAATCTGAAACAAATGCCCCCCGAACTCCCTGCCATCAATACCCAAAAATTCGAGCCCCAAATGGAACACCCTAATAAACTGAAAGTGAGAGAGAAAGCTTCCATCCTCATGCACCAAAAGGGGGAGGGCAATACTCTCTAAGGAAAAAACGGGACAAATGCCGGAACCCGGCACAGCCCCCAGTCGGACCCACTTACCCCTCACAAAGACATCAGTCTTCGAGCGGCGAATTCTGAAGGAAATCTGATCCGCTGTACAAGTAACATCCCCCAAATAGCACCCCTCCACCCCATCTGCTGACGACTGGGGCACACCAGCTTCCCAATTCGCATGGCACCAAAAAACGCCAGGGAAAAGGCCAGCCGAAAGAGACGGCCTATGTAAGGTATCACACATACTAGCCAATAGAGCGCCTGAAACGGGACGCCAATATGACAGCGAGGGACGCACTGCCAGCCGCTGACGAAACTGCTCATCGTACCTCCACCAACCCAGCCCCCCATAGGTGTGACAAGCGTTCCAAATCGTGTCTTGATAACAGAACAGCGCGGAGCACTTCTGGGGAGACTTCTCCCCCACAACGCTGGCCAAAATAGAAAATGCCCGAATCCAATTCCCAGATGTCTTGGGAATCTTTCGATAGCGGTACTTTTCCCTATCCTTTTCGGACTCCTTACTGTCCTTTTCACCACCGGAGAACTCCACTTTCCAAATTTTTTTCCCTCATCTCTTGTTTCAATTGCAAGCCCAGGGGGCCAGACCAGCACATGTAAACTGCGCCACACGCCACGTCTAAAACACCCTCCTCGAGAGAAGCATTGCCCACGCTGGCAACAGCACCAGACACCGCAGGTAAAGGGGTTCCATCGGCGCCGAGGGCAATGGACCACTACCCACCAGGGACAAGGACCCAGGGAGGCACGAGGACTGAACCGCAGGAGGGAGCTGGGCTGGGGACCAAACCGACTGAAGCTGACCATCAATAGAGGTGTCCCTGCTAATGCCGTCCCCCCGCTCCCACTGATCTAAAAGCCCCCAAAGACCCGAGAGGAACCCCCATCAGTGCGGGACCTGAAGGACTAAAAGAGGAGGGAGCATCGTATTCACCGGTTGCAGCCTGGCGGTCCAACCTCGGTACTGCACTCACAGAAGGTTGAGGCAAAGAAACAGGGATTCCAGCATCCACGGAAGTCCTCAAATGTGTTCCAGGCGCCACCTGCTTGACGGATCCAGTAACAGCAGCCGGGTCCTGAGAAGAGAGCAGTGGAGAGGTGGTGAGCCCACACCCCACAGGAGGTGGCCGAGGTAAGTGACCAGCAGGGGGGTGTGGGGGCCCAGGAAGAGTAGAGGACAGAAGGGACCCAGAAAGGACAGAGATAGGACCGGGGGGAAGGCAGAAAAGGAAGGTGGGAAGGAAGATAGGTGGGGGGCCAAACCCAGAAGAGATGGGGAGGGGGGAAGAGGGAGAGGGACCGAAAGGAGAAGGACCAGGGGGCCCTGCTAGAGGTAAGGTGGGCCCCCTGGAAGACAAAGCAAGCCCAGCATCAAAAGAGGGAGGAGAGGAGACAGGGGAGACAGACCCACGGGAGCCTTCCTCACCAGAAGA